CTAAATGACATCAAAATAGAACTTAATTACATTTGGTAGTAGTGTTATTTTTTTATTTGCCTTTTCTTATTGGAACAACAAGCATCATGTTTATCCAGCAAGCCAATGAAGACATGTCTCAGCTTCTAAAATAGATGTTCTAATTTCTGGAATTGTATCTTATTTACATCCACTCTAAAATGATGCTCCAAGTGTTAGCATTAATTAAGGGTTCCATCCATTTGGGATCATATCTTTATCTGTTAATATTTCTTATTAGACTAAGTGATACCAAAGCTCTTTTTTTTTTTTCATTTTTGCTTTTAATGTTTATTTGAAAATGCATTCCCTAAGACAAAATTTTCTGGTAAAACCCATTATTCTAATGATCTTATTTCAGTTATTTAGATACATTATTTAGATACAGTTTATCAAGTTAACCCATGTACTTTCCGTTGAGGTAATTCCCCATTCGGAGAATGAGCGCATACAGAGAGACATATTGAGAGAGAAGTGTTTGAATAATACACACACAGCACACAGATACACTGTATAGTAAATGTAAGTTTTTACTTCCAGAAAGGTTTAAGCAAAGTTCAAAACAATCAGTCCAAAGTCATTCACAGGTAAGATCAGTCAGTTTTTAGTCCAGGGATAATCTAATAACAAAGTCCAGTGTCAAAAACAGTTCAGTATCAGACTTACATCAAATCCAGAAATAGCAGTCAATTAGGAGTAACGGCAATACTTTCCAAGGAAAAACAGAGACTCACTCACTTCATTGAGACTCTTCTGAGACTAAGGCTAAAACAACCCAGGTTTCTGGCTCCATCTTATGATCGTTTGAGAAACCACACCTAATTACAGTTTTGCATTTTCTTAGAGACAGTATTAAAATGTCTACCCTGGTTTATATATTTCCAACCCAAATACCTGTTAGGTGACTTATATTCCTAATACTTTCCACATTATGTTAGCTCATTAATTGGTAAGTAAAGGAAACTCATTAATTGGTAAGTAAGTAAAGGAAAAGGAAAACTTTTATCTTTAAAATATTTATTTTAATCATACTCATCTGAACCCGTTTTTGTAGGATACTAAAACTGAACATTGACACTTCAAAAACGTAAATGTGCAATTTCTGCTGCTAAGAATCATGTATTATTATGTATGAAAGAAAAGAAAACTACTAAGATACTACATCTGTCATGTCCTGTTGCCCTATGCTTTAGAAATATAAGTGTGCCATCTTTCTTGAATAAAAGCTTACAAAATTTTTAACATGCACTACAGAAGAAGCCGATCTGGGCTGGGCTGAGAAGCTCAGTGGGACTAGATCAGGAGGGGGCAATTAATTTTGCCAAGGAGCAATTAATTTTGCCAAGGGGCAATTAATTTTGCCAAGGGACCACATGCAAAACAGGAACTGTTATGAGGGGCCGAACCAATAGGCTACCACTGCTATCACTGCTGTCACAGGCTGGACAGGGACAGCCAATAGGCCGGATGTGGCTCATAAGCCATAGAATGCCCAGATCTAGCCTAAATAGTACTTGGTCCCACCAAAGAACAGTCGGGCTGTAGGATAAGCAGGGAAGCCCAAAAGACTCCTACTCTACGTTGCTATGAAAACTACACAAATGTGTTCAAGTACGGTAATCACCAGGAGTTGAGCTCAGCTCAAGAGGATCTTCCATTTCTTTTAAAATTTTGCTTGCCTCTCCCTATTTTTCCCACTTATCTGTATTTTAGTGCTAGATACCATCTGCTTTAATTTCTCTTCTCAAGACAGATTTTCTTATGCAAACAGAACTTTTAAAAAATAACAAAGAGTACTTCACAATAAATGTGTGATGTAGGCCTCTAACAGCAATTTTCCTTTGTAACCATTTTTTATATTTGTAGTGTGAGCTATTTAGATATTTATGTTTGTATAACACACACACACACACATATACACTGTTTAAAATATGTATACGTGTGTATGCATGCACACATATATAAACATGCATAGTATTTATTTTTAGCTATTTTACTGAAACAGAATTCCTTAATCAGTTTTTGCTGATTAGTTCTTATTTCTCTTGTTTAAAATTGCTGTTGGCTGAAGCCTCATCAGTTGAACTTCTAAGTACTTATTTGTCAGCTAGTTTTCTAAGGGTCAAACTGAGTGTTAAAATCTATTATAGTTGCCTATTTCTTAGAACTAACTTTGGTTGGACCCAGTCTTGAACATTTTTGTTACATCCTTTTATGTATTTGGGAGGAAGTAATCTTTTTAACATGCAAATTGCAAGTACTGGAAACTCTATTCCAGATTAAAAAATAAGTGACTATTCTCTTTAATATGTGTTTGATAAATAAAATGTGTAGAATGATTATGACAGAACTTTCCTATTTACTTTCTGACAAATGTGAATGTTTATTTATAGGTTTCCTTCAGAATTACTGAACTGTAGGATCATTTTAGTTTAAAATATCTGTAGAAATAGAAAAACTGGATTGAAGAAACGGTGAGAAGGAGACCAGCTCTTCAATAATTCCTCTCTTGATAAGGAGAGGACTTGAGACTGTCCACAAATGTTCCAGGCAGTGGTCTCCAGCTGGTTAAGAGACAGGAAAATAACTGTCTTGCTCAAACCTCAATCACTGCCTTTGAAAGGACATTCAATTCACATATTTCCTTTTCTAATCACTTTCAGAAATTGCTTTTAAGTTATTAGGAATGTTTGGATTAACAAGTTATATAGTACCAGGTGAGTTCCCTTCAATGTTCAGTGAAAGAAGAAGTTTTAACAAGTTTAAGAACTTTTTTAAAAAAAATGGGAAAAATGAGTCTTTGCCAGTGCAGCCTCTTGGAGCAAGATGCCTTGCAGGGTCCCAGAGACTCATTTCTGGTGGAATTTGGGGGAGAGAAAGAAAGACTTTTGCTTCTTTCCTTGTGTGCAGCCAAAAGCAGCAGAAGAAAGTAGCGGAAAGAAGCAGCCCGGTGACCAGGCAAGTTCCCCCCTCTGCCCTTTCCCCCTTCCCCTCACTACTTCGTGTTGTTCACAATGCAAGGGATGCAAGCCTTGTTTTCCTGCTGACTATGTGGGCAGCACAGCCTTGTGTTCCCACGAAGCCTGGATTAATTGCTTTGGGGTTGACATTTCTCTGCGAACCATCAACGTTTTCTCACGGACCACTAGTGGTCCCCAGGCCACTGGTTGGCAACCACTGATTTGGAGGGACTAAAGAATATTAGAAATAAAAGAAAGGAATATAAAGTGGGTTTATTTGATCTGATTTAAAATAGATATATTGTTGTTTCTGGTAACCCTTAGATTTTTGCTAACATCAGGAGTGAAACAATGAGGCTTTATACATTTGTTTATATGTAAGAAGTAGGATATGGGAAGAAGAGATCATTTTATTGTATTTTAAGAGAAGGTGGTAAGTTACTAAAATTGTTTATACTTGTGAAAAGATGAGAAATCTCTCACATACACATACACACACATGTATTTTTGTTTATTTTTTCTTTTCTATTTCTATTTTCTTCCCTTTATCTTATTTTTCTGTACTCTCTTTTATTTTTTCATCTTGTATTAGTTTTGCTTATTATACTTACAATCTTTAATAAAATTAATGTATAAAAAATAGAAATTCTCTGTCTAGGGTTTGGAAAATCTAGTTAAAACATATCTAGTTGCATCTGATTTCCATACATATTCTTGTGTATTTTCATATGTTCTTACTTGCATTTGTCCAAGTGTCTCTGTGCTAGGGCTTTCTCAGTAGTGGAATTTTCATTCTATAACACTTCTTGGAAAACTTATCTGGGAGTAAATCACAGAAAAAGAAGGATAAATATTCTGAGCAACATCCAGCTTCTTCATCTTGCCAACTTCATCTAAAAATAATCCTAGGTTTTCCCCTTCTAAATGTGAGTGAATGTCAGAAATATTTGTGTGCTTGTGTGTGCGCATGCATGGAGGTATATTTGCCAGAAATTCCATCTAAAACACATGTATTAATTGAAACAATCACTATTTAGAATTAAGTCTCAGTACAAGGAGGTGTAAAATTGATTAATCCTCACGGCATATAGTGAGGAAGAGGGAAGGAGAGGGAGAGAAAGAGGGAGAGACATTTGTTCAGTGAATCACTGCAGTTGTTAAGATAGTAACACTGTTGTTAAGTGAATCTGCCTTTTCCATTGACTTTGCTTATCAGAAGGTTGCAAAAGGGGATCATATGACCCCAGGACACTGGAACGGTCATAAATACAAGTCAGTTGCCAAGCATCTGAAATTTGGGGTGGGGATGCTGCAGTGGTCATAAGTGTGAAACATAGTCATTTGTCACTTTTTTCAGTCACTAAATGAACTACTGTAAATCGAGGACTACCTGTAGTCAAACATATCTGTCTGAAGCATGGGACATTCATGGTTTTATGTTAGTATTTCATTATTCTATTGTTAATCGTTATTGTTTTCATTGAGAACTGGTATAGTGGAAAAAGCAGGTTCAGAAAAATATTATAAGAAGAAACTTGCTTTTTTTTTAAGGTTGTTTATCTCGAATAAAGTAGGTTCTGCTAGATGTTGCATTTTCTTCAGGCTCTAATGTGATTTCAAATTCACAAATAGAATTTCCTGCCTGGCAGGTCGCCAAGTTGATGTACAACCAAGCAACAATGAAAAATTAATTTAAAGCATTTACATCATAAAATTAGAATCAGAAAACATTAAACCATGTTGAAACAATCACAACTGCTACCATTAAAGTATATAGAAATAGAATGGCTTTAACTTCTCTATGAAGGAAATATTATCAAAATCCTCAAAAATTATTATCTATTATCTACCTCAACATACAACTGAAATTTTGATATTTAATGTGGATTTTTATTTGATCTAAAGAATTAGGCACTTTAAATAAAGCTGCTAAACTAGAATAATATGCTTATAGTTAATGTTGATTGTAATATGATACTAACATTTTATTAAAAATAAAATATTTTCATTTATCTCTTGTAGTGATTCAGAAAGCCGAAAACTATGCAAGAAGATGAAAGTTGATCCTGGTTTGAAAGAGAAAGGGATAGAATTACTACACTACAAGTATGTTCATGAGTGGGTTAATGGATGTTACATTGAAATTGCTAGGATGCTCCATGGCTTTGAGAATGACATTGTTGCACACTACAATCTTACACAGGGTGATATACATTTATTCATTTATTTATTTAAGAAATTTTATATGGCTACCCAACTCTCAATGACTTTGGGTGGCTTATAAAAATCCCTTTAAGTCTAAATCAGAATAGGCTAGTAGCCTGTATCTTGTATGAATAATCTTGCTCATTAATGCAGTGGTTATTTCATTGAATATTTGTATTTTAGTTTCAGCTTCCTCCACATTTTGACTGCCAGTGCATTCCATTGTGAGGGTTAAAACCCATGCTGGCAAGATGTCCAAGATTGCTTGCAATAAACTGGTAGTCTTAAGTTAAATTCTCATTGAAGTTGAATCAATTTCTCTTATTGAGTTCCATGAGAGTTCAAAATCTTTGCTTAACCACCTTGTGCATATTAATATGATTTTAAAATGCTTAATCTAGATTACTATATATAACAGATACAAATCTGATTTCTACATTGAATGCTTTGTAACTTTTTAACATCCTGGACAGCCCCAGATCTGCTTGAATTATTCCCAAGGTTGAGTTCGACCCCCTGTTTATGTGTATTGTGGATGTCCGTGGGGGAACTCAGGTACTGGAATGGAGCTTGATTAATCTTTGCATTTGCTAAAAGTTGGAGTCCTATGAAATACAGGCCACAATTTCCCATTTCAGGTTGGTATGAAGAAAACTTTGTTTCAATGTCTTTCAGTCAACTTGCCAAGCTAAACTATACATGTTTTGTGTACCTCCCCATTCATATTTCAAAAGAATGCTAACATTAGCTTGCTTTGCATTGTTCTTGAAGCTCCAGATGCAGAGGTGGTATTCAGCAAATTCTAACCAGTTCTGAAGAACTGGTAGCGGAAATTTTGTGTAGTTTGGAGAACTGACAAATACCACCTCTGACTGAAGATTTTACAGTATCCTTCCCCTGCCACGCCTACCAAGCCATGCCCACAGTAAAAAAATTTGAACCCACCACTGTCCAGATGTCATTGCTCTTGAGTAGAGGTCATTCCCTTGGCACAGAAAAGTGACAACTGTGGTTTTCATAAGTTACACTTCCTTGAACAGGAACTCCAAGAGATAGTCTTCTTGAGTCTGATTCAGTCTTCCTTTACAAGAAGTAGGACTCAATGGTTGCCACCAGGACAGAGGCTTACAATTCCTTAAATATTTCCCTACCAAGTGTTACTTCTTTATTGTCTAATTAAAGAGGGATGCAGAATTTTAGTTCACTTCATATTTCTTGGAGCAAGTTGCAGCCTGGCAATTTTGATATATCTGCTCATCAACGTCATCAACTATCTCTCGTGCTCATGGACTCACTTCCATGTTCAGGACAAAATGCTCAGCAAGAATAACAAGAAGCAAAAATGGCCAGGCTTCATTCAGAATTTGGAGCTGATCAGCTAGCACAAGACCAATTCTTTCACTCTAAAAAAATGCAGGCATCATAAGTAGGCAGGGCCTCATCATTCTGGCTGTCATCTCTCTCTTTTCTATAGTGAGATGGTAAATAGAATTATAAACAGCTGGCTTCTTGGGTTTATTTATTGTTATCAAGATTTTTGTTACGATAACAACAGTGTGTTGCACCTTTGGAGAACTGCCTCAATTAAAATGTGTTACGGATCAATAACAATCTTTTTTATTCCAGTACAAGCAGCAGTAATTGAGGGTCAAAGTGATTTCTGGAAATTAGCTCTTTTTTTCAAATCCAGTGGGAAAGAAATAGGGAAAATTATGTCAATATGATCTTGAACTGACTAGTGTTTTAAAAGACAGTTATATTTGGAAAACAATTCAGAAACTAATACCAACACTTTTGAGTTACTTTGAGCTACCTATATATTCTTTGATTCATTTCAGTAAGGTGGTCTCTACCAATGTTTCCTGAGTAAGCTGAAAGAATTTTATCAGTTCATTGATTTCAGAGGACTTGAGCACATGTCTGCTTTTGTTCGGTGGGGATTAAGCTGCCTAAACAGAGCAGTGCACTGTTAATGGAAATTCCCCTGGGTATCTGCCACTCCCTAAACCTGCTCTATGGTAAATGGTCTCATTAAGGCTTATGGAAGTGATTGCCCATTAGAGACCTGTTTGCTTCAAAAACTTGTTTTTCGTTATTCTGTTTTGTACAGGCTTGCAAAATGACAAAAAGTTCAGTTAGTCTGGCCAGAATAAAGAGCTGCGTGATTTTCGAATGGCGTTGCTAAAATTAATTACTGTTTTTCTTCTTTACAGAGATGGTGCATTTCACACTGAATATAACAGAGCATTTACACTGAAGGTAAATTTACAGTTGTTCCAAACCTTTTGGAAAAGAAAGGCTGCCTTTGTATGTAGAACAGGTGTTAATATATGCAGCTTTATTTTTGGATGGGAGAGAGGTGGTACATTTTGTAAACAGCTGCTTGAGTGACCTAAAAGGTCTCAAATCTCCTGTACCTATGCATGCCAAACATCCTATGAATCTGTGTGATTAACTAGATTGAGTTAATGCTAAATTGCAGCTTCGTTGCAATCTGCTAACAAAGGGAGAGGATGGTTATTGTGATTGTTTTAAATGAGAAGATTTGGCTTTGCTGTAAATTCCCTTTTGTGCCAGCCTATATCTAAAAGCATGAAACTGAGAGTGATTGGGAAAATACCCATCTTTCTATTTTATTTTTTTCATCTGCTGTGAAACAAGATTAAAAGAGAGATGAAATGGCCTTTTCCAAGATCTCATTAGAGACATAGATTAAACTCACAGAGATGTTGCCTTCAGTCTAGAATGGGTGAAGTGGCCTTCCTCCCTAACCATTGTTTTCCTTCTCTTTCCTGCCTGGCCTTAATAGGATTTACACAAAGAAAAAAGGCCTCTAGAGGACACCAGAAAATAGACCAGGTTAAAAAAGCACCATCTCTGGGGTTAGAACCATTGTCAGAGGCAAGTGCCCATTTGCTGAGGGTTTTGCCTAGAAGGTGATTCCATTGCCAAAATTTGGAGACTTTTGGCTTTTTTTAGTTGTGCTTATGGTTCCCAATTCCAAGTAGGCAAATAGTGAGGATCAAGACAGAATGGTAACTTAGCAGAGGTTGTCCTCTTTCTCTACAGAAAAAGGTTGAGTACCTCTAGTGTGGTGACTTCTAAATTTAGACCTAGCACAGTAGTAGCTTTGAGAAATAAAATAATTCACAAAGAAAACTCAGAAGGCATATGGATTTTAGTTGGCTCTGGCTCTGCAATTATTTCAAGTGAGGTACAGATAGTCTTTTGTTAGCGATCATTCTCAGTTACGACAGTGATAAAAAAAAAAACTTTGTGACCAATCCTTGCGTTTATTATCTTTGCAGATTGGTAAAGGAAAGCTGAAGTAAGATCGTAAATACAGTTACATTTTCATTTAATGACTGCTTTGCTTAAGGACAGAGTTGCTGGTCCCAATTATGATCACTAAATGAGAACTAACTGTATTGAACTCCAGGGTATCTTTAAAGCATTCTGCTACTTGGGTCCACTGATCAGCTCAGTTGAATTTACCTTGTAAAATGTAACCCCAGATTTTCATCATAACCTACAGAAGTTCTTCAAATGTCCCAGGGCAACTTTAGGCTATGAATTTGTATAAATCCATTTTATTTAGCATGGGAAAGGTCCCATTTTTGAATAAGTTAAGCCTCTGTAATGTAGCTACCCTTGAAATTCGGGGGGGGGGGGTGGGGGGGGGAATTATTCTGGGATGCATCACTAAAGGGATCACCAAGAGGAAAATACCACTTTAGTCAGACACCATTTGAAAAACTGTGCCCAGTTCTGGAGACCTCACTTAAAAAAAGGATATTGACAAGATTGAGCAAGTGCAGAGATGGGCAACAAAAATGGTGCAATGTCTGAGGGACAAATTATATCAAGAGAGATTGGAAAAATTGAGTATATACTGGAGGACAGAAGGGAAAGACATGGCTGAAACCATTAAATATATTAAGGGTGTGAATAAGGTTCTAGAAAGCAATATTTTTGACACTAAGGAAAAATGAAGAACCCAGGGGCATAACTCCAAACTGGCAGGAGGGAAGTTCAAAAGTAATGTTAGTCACAGAAAGAGAAGTGGAAATTTGGAACCAACTTCTAGTGGAGGTACTGGTTAGTTGTCAGTAATGGAGTTTAAACATCCTTAGGATAAACACATGTCCGTTATCTGACAAAAAATTAAAATAACTCAAACGACATGCTTGATGGACAGGTCACTAGGTCTTTTTCTGCTGTCAGTTTTCTATGTTTTTATGAAATGTTCTGCTTATGTTTTAATCTTTCAAATATTTAAAAGGTAGAGAAGGTGCAGAAAAGAGCATACAGAGGCTACAGAAGCAGCTTTGTGAGGGGCAACTGAAGTATTTACTCTCCTTTATATTGAGCAAAATAAGGTTAACTAAGGGGGCACATTAAAACAGCTTATAAATTGCAAAGTGCATAAAGAGAACAGAGCGGGTGTTTGCTTTTGCAAACATTTGTTGGATTCAGAGTAGACAGAATAAATTACTTCATACGCATAAACTTTGGATAGCTTTAAAAGGGAAATTGATTAATTCCTGGAAGGAGAGAGATATCAGTAGGTAATTACAGTAATGGAATCCTATTTCACAGTGAGCAGCAGCACATGCAGAAAAAAAATCTGGGTGTCTTGGTGCAGAGATCCTCAACCTTTCTGGCTCTATGGTGGGGGGAGGGGATAGTTTCGTGCGCTCGCTTGCTGCTTGCACAAAAGGAGCTTCGTTAGCTTGCCCACTGGTTGTGCGGTCCAGTTTCCAACAAGACGTGGACCAGGGGCTGAGATTAGGGTTGTCTGATGATGGGGTCTTAGTGAATCATAGTCTGAATGAAGCAAGAGTTTTATGCAGTCACAGAAAAGTCAATGATACCTAGACTACATATACAGAGGAATAGCCTCAGGATAGAGAAAAGCCACTGTTCTATTCTATTCTGTTTTTGTCAGAAAATACCTAGAATACTTCATCCCTTTTGGGGTATTGCATTTTTAAAAGGACACTGATAAACTGGAGCATATCTGAAGGAAACCAAGCAAGATTAAAAGGGGCCTGGAAGGAAAACCATGTCAGGAATATTTAGAAATGTAGTATCTTCTTTATCTGCAGAAGTAAAGACTATGGGGAGGCATGATAGCTACCTTCAAATATCTGAAGGACTAGCAAATAGAGCAGAATTGTTCAGAGTTGTTCCAGAAAATGGGACAAAAATTATAATAAAGTAGTTTTTAATTGGCATCAGGAGAGGTTTCCTAAGAGTAAGAGGTGTAGAACAATGAAACAGATTGCTATGAAATGGCTCAAATCTCTATGGGTTCTATTTTATTCTCTCAAGAAAGAAGTAAAACCTTTTGAACTTTTAACTATTTTTAAATAATTATGATACTCCAGTGCATTAATATTTTAGCACTTTGTGTCATTGAATAAGTTTAGTGAAAATGATGTACGGATCTAAAAACATAGCAAAATATGGTTTTTCAGCATAGTTTTTTGTGTATATGAAAACAGTAGGAATTCACAATATGGTCACCATATTTGGTTATATTTAGGGGGATTTACATTACGTATTCTTACATGTGTATTTTGAAGTGTTCTCCTATTAGTATGCTTGCCACATCACTTTCTTTCTCACACTATTTATATATAAAATTTAGTGGCCATCCATCTTACCTTACTCTGGATGGCTTACAATCATAAAAAATAAAAACTGACTAAAGACGAAAGCATTCATAAAATACTATTCACAGCCAAATATAGCAAATATAGCCTGATTAAAATATGGGGAGGGCAAGACCAGGTTGGGAGGAAAGTGGGATATGTTGTTAATCAATCAGCTACCTCCACTGTGATGCTCCCCCTTTGGATCTCCAAGCCAACTGGCAGAGACGGGTCTTTAGGCTCTTACAGAAGATCAGAAGGGTTGGGGCCACCCTCACTCTGGGGGCAAGATGTTCCAGAGGGCAGGTGCAATGAGGGAGAAGGCCTTTCTCTTGGATTCCTCTGGGGACTGCAGTATGCCTCCTATGCCAGTATGAGTGACACCGACCTCCCCAGTGATTCCTATAGGGAGAAGAGAATCATTTTCAAAAAGAGCTGCTCATTTGGACCAGGCAACAATTCTAAACTTCCTCTCTGGCAGTAGACTTGCTTGTTGAGTGATCTTCTACTTCTATCAAGGTTGGCTGTAATGGTATGTGGAAATGACCTTGGGAGACAGGAGGAAGAGCCTGCTGCTTTCTGAAGACTTTCCAAAGCATCACAAGAACGATGTCAGCCTTATCAGATAGATCTGACATAAAAATTGACCAAATAAGCCAGGGGTCTTCAAACTTGAAAGCTTTAAGACTTGTGGACTTCAACTCCCAGAATTCCTCCTCCAGTCATGTTAGCTCAGGATTTCTGGGAGTTGAAGTCTACAAATCTTAAACCTGCCAAGTTTGAAGATCCTTGAAATAAGCCAATTCTACTTTACTGTAAAGGTACATTAATAGAATCTTGCAAGTCTGAAAGTACAATTCTCCTCCATCTCCTTTACAGCTCACGAACTTAGGGATTGTCCCTCTTGAGCCATTTGTTCTGCCGACTATACAGCTGTGGGATAAGCTCTCTAAATAACTGACTGCTCCCTAGGCAGCATCTCCACCCCATCTCCAAAGAGGCATACGATTCCCACATGCCATTACAAATGATGCAGGCAGTTTGAAGAATGTAGGTGTAGCCTTCTTCCAGGGCTTTGCAAAGCCTCAGAAGCTTTCTGGAAGCTTTCTGAAGCATTGCAAGAAGGATATGTGCTATTTGGAGAAAAGCACAAGCAGCCTTGAAAAGAGAGCCTAATGCAGCCAGCATAGGGTCAGGCAGGGTGTGCTTTGTCTGTAGTGGGAGGAAGATGGTGACAATCAGTTGTGTGTGTCAGGGCCTGTGGGGTGCAGAGGTGTTGAGATTTTGTGCAGGGTAACCAAAAGGTCAGCGATGAGGAGATAGGCAAGTGTGGAGAATTGAAGTGCCCCTGCAGTTGTAAGTGTGGTTGGACTGCCAAGCACTTGAATTTTGATCATGTGACCTTGGGAACTGGACTCATGTACCACTCATTTGGTGTAACAATAACTTTGAATGGAAGCTGAATGCTGAATGTTCATTCATTAAGCAAGGACTACTTATATTCTGAAACAGAATGCATACTAAGGCTTAACCATGCAATTCTAGAGAAGAAATACCCAACCCAGCAGTAATCAAAAAGAACTTCTTTTCAGAAAGAGAAAAGAACTGTTTTCTTACCAAACACTTACTAGCTAGACAAAAGCCAAGTAGGGATTACTTAGTGCTTAGATATAGCCTTCTCCTAAACTAATGAGAAAATGAGAGCATTTACACCGAGACAAATTCCTTGTGTGTCCAATAACACTTGGCCAATAAAGAATTCTATTCTATTCTAATAATAATTTTCAATTTACACATGTACATTGGCAATAAACATTTGATTAATTGATAAAACAGCTATCCTCCAGGTCCAGAACATAATTCAAAAGTATTGTTGACAGAACCTTAAAATAAAAACAATCCAGAACTTGTCCTTTGCTGGAACTGATGGTAGCTGCCACTGTAATGTTTTGCCTAAATCAAATGTAATGAAAAAATACAGCTGAAAAAAAATACAGGATCTATTTGGCACTTGAAACAAGCTTCCAACATTTGTTCTGCTAAAAGTAGTATGCAGAATGTTTCTAATGATTGTTCAACAGAAATAAGAATGAACCTTCCTGAAATAATTATCTAGACTCTATAACAATTGTTAAATTGTGCCGATGACCACATCTGCAAAATTATATGACAGTTATGCCTACCAGGGGGCATTTCTTTTTATATCTCACCCCTGGTGAAATCTTGCCACGGCTGTTTGAGTAGAAGAATTCTTTGAACCTTAAAGCTGTCTCATCCTGCTAATACTAAGCAACCAGTATCTATATTGTTAACGTTTGAATTTAAAATTTTATTCACAGAGAAAGATTCTGCAGATTAAATCAAGCTTATTCTATTTACATAATATTCTAATCTGAACATTTGTTTGATTTTGAACAAAAAGAAGGGTTTAATCTTGTCGTGTATGATGCAGCTGGGCAGTATGCTAAAGTTCCTCTCTCTCTTATTCTGTACATGTGGATAAAAACAAAAATACCTCAGCAGTCACCTTTTCTGATTTCAATCCATTCTGTTTTTCTTACAACCTTTTACATCAGAGCTCTCTGCAACCTGCTGTTCTTTGAGATTACTGGAATTCTGAACATTGCAGCCCACATATATCTGGACGTTAGGGAAAGCTATTCAGTGATAACAGATTCTAATTCATAAATAAAATTTTGAAGACTTTAAAAATTAGGCTCCAGATAAAATATTGTCTACGTTATGCTAAAAGACACTAAAACTCACATTAGAATCTTCTGTTGTGTTTGTTATTACCAATTTTAAAGCAATCATTCCCTCCCTTCAGGCTCACAATTTGTATATTTATCAATAACAGAGAGACAAAAACAGTTATATCAATAACTCAGCAGAGATTGCTTAGAAAATGTAATTTGTTTTATATAATTTACTCTAGGATCAAACTTTTATTTTACTTTGAAATCGCTCTCTCTTTCTGAAGAGAATCCTCTCCTGCTGTTTGTGCTCTTGCTTTTAATTTGTGTATGCTGTTTTTAAACTGTTAATAGATTCAACACTTCATTTGTGTCAAATCAGCAAGAACAAACGAAGCTCTCCATATATGCTCTTTTGTATTTTAAACATATTTTCTTTTTTGGGCTGCAGCCCACTGTGGCATTTTATACAAATATAAGATTATGTCTAGGAGGGGTGGAGATTCCTCTCAAACCTTCAGCAGCTTCTTCTGAATGAATGCATAAGGTTTCTTCTAGGTTTTTGAAAATGATTTCTTAAGCAGTGTTTGTCCCTTAAGTTACCCAAAACGAGATTTAGAAGTTGTGATAAACCTAGATTATTAAACTGCAGAACCAATTTGATGAAAGGTGAAAGAGATGTTACCTTTACCTCATTAAACTCAGTAAGATAGGTATTGACTCCCATTAGTAAGGTCAGGTCTGAGAGGAACTCATCCACAATCACACTTACGTGAATCTGTGTTGAGTCTTTATTGTTTTCCACACATAGAAATTAGCTCATTTTACATTGGCAATCTGATAGATAATTTAAATTTTCTGAATGTAATGGTTTAGCTGAAACAGAATGCATACTAATGAAGTTCAGTGGCCCAATTATCAACAACAGATCATGGAGCTTATAAGTAACGTTAGCTTATGGAAAAAACATATGTAGTCTGAGCTTCTTTTCATATTTGAGGAAATACTGTTGAAATGGATATGATTGTGAGAATAAATATCCATAAGGCTATGATATTAACATGTGCAGACTTGCTAATAAAGGAAAGAAATCACCAAATCTAAATGTTTTAAATAGTTGTCCCATCTTAATCATATCTCTTAGTCAGATCAGAAAGGAATTGTATAGAATTTTTTTCTTAATTCCTCAGCTTTTAGCTTGCCTTACAAACCTTGGATTGTAGAAACTACCTTGACTTTAGATCTCCCATTGTTTTTAAGATGAGTTTAAGTATCAGAGAATAATAGTAAACTGAGAAAATAGCAACATGCTGCCTCTTCTACTGTAACTTCAGGAATGAAATCTTTTTCAGTTCTATTTATATTGAATACAGGGAATTTTGCAACATGCTAGGTATCAAGTTATTTTTACATTAAAGGAGGATTTATTTAAAATAATCAAGAAGGCTGGAGTCCCAAGAGAAATGTTTGTGGCCTCTGTGTTAAAGATTCCAGATCTAGCACATGAATTTGGTATGCAGGAATTTCTGAAGCTAAATAATGCAGCCAGTTTTTTTAACACTTGAAAGATTAGTTCCTCCCTGTCCCTCAGGACTGCCCCAAGGAAAACTTATACTGATAAATCTGAGGAGAAGCAGAGAAAGGCAAAGGGTGTGTGCAGTGCATCTAAATAACTGGATAGGACTCCCTGCATTCACATGAATGATACACAGGATATAGTTTTTGTTCTCAAGAGAAGGAGGGAGGGAGGGAGAGAAGGAAGGAAGGGAAGGAAGGAAGGAAGGAAGGAAGGAAGGAGTCAATGTTCTGAGTAACGAACCCAACCAATTGAGCAACTCCAAGACTTTCAGCTTTCTCAGATTTCAGCACAAATGAAAATAAAACTGTTAAAACTAAATAAAATAAAACTCAATAAAACTGTTCTTTGAGAAAGCTAAAATAAAACTCAATAAAACTGTTCTTTTAGAAAGTTAAAAATTTAGGAGTTGCTGAATTGGTTGGATTTATTATCCTTGACAAAAGGAAGCCATTGTAACTTGTCATACTTTTTCAGTGAAAAGAAATTCCTTGTATAAATTGGACTGAAATAGCACCATGCCTTTCTGCCCCACGCTATTTTGGGGGACTGAGTAATATTTGGAACCTTGCACATATATTGTGGACAGGCTTATAGAATGGTGTGATCAGTTATACAAAACATGCATTTCCACAAAGGCAGACCAGTGAGTCTCAGAATATACAAGTAAACTTTCCATGTACCATATGTCAGTCATCCATTGCTAGAAAATTAAAATGGGCAACACACATTGCACACATCATCCAAAGAATAGACATGCTGGTCATAAAATACAGATACATTAAGCATCATGCCCTAATTTCAAGCAAAAGTACAGACCAAAAATATCATATATTAAAACAAGGTAGGTAAAGCAGCCAAACCACATCTTATTTTGAAGCAAAATATAGCCTTCCTATTCCAGCACTCTTTACAATTGCTAATTCCCATATGTTTTCATGATTTTAGGGTCCGCTGAATAGATATACGGAGAAAATTTGGCCATGGCATCTATGTTTGTTTTTAGAAAAAGCTTTTGTGACTCTCTTATCTCCTAGAGATACTCTTGTTAATAACCCCATCACATAGTGTTGTGGGGAGAAAAGGAAAGAGTGCTCTCTACATCATATTGAGCTCCTAAATGAAAGTTGGAACATAGATCTAGTAAATAAATGATGGAACATTTAATTTAAAAGATGGATACACAACTATACCGTATATAGAGAAAGATGTATATGCTAAGTCTATAATAAAACATATGCATTGATCTTGAGATACAGGTTATTGAAACTGAAGTCGTACTTAATTTTCAGCTTATAAGAAATAGTCAAGTTCTATTCTAGTACATTGGACAATTCATAGTCTTTCAGTAACCAGATATTTCTGTTGTACAACATTCAATTTTTATCTTAGTTTTCCATCGTGGAACTGTAGAAGTTTACATTCCTTTGTCCTTGTCCTCAGAACAGTCTGACTAGTAGCTTTATTGTAAACTGGCTAGTTACTTAGATGAGATGGATGGTGCAATAGATAGGCAGGCAGGCAGGCAGGCAGACATTCAGCATGGCTTTCTCCCAATTCCAATCCTTAAAGAAATTACTAAAAGTGCCATGTTTTGGTTCAATACTTTGAATCTGTTTTTAAACAGAAACATATCAGGGGACAGAATTTCTTTAAAGTCTTCACTGGAAAAGCAAGCCAAATATTTGTATTTCTCATGTCCGAAAGACCAAGACAGCATTTGTCAGATCTATTGTAATTGGGATTAAAGGGCTGTATCTTCTTTTCTAGTCACTGGTTGCCTTTCTAAAGGATCCTGAAGGAGCTCCATTGTGGGAGGAAGATCCTGAAGCCAAAGATGTTGTCCATATTGACAGTGAAAAGGTAAGCTCCCTTGAATTGTAATTAACATTAGAGGACATTTTAAAAAACATATACATAAATATCAGGAATGGGCATTTTTATTCTGGCATGTTTAAAGTGCTAGTCTAGCAAACTGAATGCACTGCAAGCTAAAATACATTGAGCATATTTGTTCAGTAGAATAGGAAAGGAGACCCTGATTGGGCACCACCTCATGCTAGCTATGGATTTATTTCAGAATCTGCTAAGATAATAGCATGAATCTTACCCCAAAGCATATTTCATCTTGAGCTGCCACTACGAGTGACTAAATTTATGTTGGCTTCTTTGACTGAAGGGTCCTTGAAAACTTCAGCTTCTAATTGTCTTGGTATACTTCAGCATGGGATTATGGATCTTAATAGCTTGCTAGCTAATGATACTGCCTGGACAAATGATTGGTAGGTTCTGGCTGAGATTAAAGGAAAGGTTTGAAGAATGAATGAAAGTGTGCAGAACTATATGAAGAATGTTCAGAATCATCATCTCTAGATAGGGTTGGGAGAGGCTACCATACCTCTGAAACCAGGGACAGCTGTTGACATTCAGTGAAGGCAACACCATTGTTCAATCAACTAACCATCTGACAGCATAAGACTGCTTCCTGTGTTCATTCAAAATATGCACTTTTACGCAGACATTAAACCTCTTTCTCCTAGAAATGATTGATCAAACTGTTAATTGATCGGGAACCAAGAGATTCTCTGAATGTTTTATCATTGGCATTCCTCAGTCTCGAAAGACTATGGTATCGTGCTCTGAAAAGAGGTCCTAAAACAGCTTCTAGTGTGGCTGAAAAGGCAATTCGAGAGGTGGCAATCTCTTCCACACTGAGGACAGATACAATCTGTCCCCTGTCCAGCCCCCAGATTTCGCTGGTTCCGGGACTGCCTCCTTGCCTCAGCCTGCTGAACAAGTATCTCTTCGAATTGGAGAAGGCCATACTGCATATTTAGCCTCCAAGCTGAACTATCAGAGGTCAAGGTTTCCTAGCTGTTTTTATATAGATTGTAAAAGAAAAATGACTTGCTGTAGATGCTTGAAATAAGTGGAGCAGAATTAATTAAGAAGTGTAACCCGTAGTCTCCAAAAGTTGACCATGTGTCTCAGTTGCTCTTATATAACTAAGCATTAATATATTCTGTTGTTTGGTTCTCAGAATGCTGACATTGTATTGTTTTTCAAAACTCTGATGTAAACCACAGCCAATAGATAGACGTAGAGAAGCATCCCTCGCCTCTAGGTTTGAAGGACTAGTGTTATATTTAAGGGTCATTAGAAAGTTCTTTGACTTTAGAGGAAACAGTTTTTAGTATTTAATATGGACAAATTTGGCAAGGGCATTGAATATTTTTAGATGAACTCGTGCAATCTTAATTTTGTTCTATACTGCATTATGTTCTATACTCTTATTATGAAACCTAACATTGCTATACTTGCTTCTCCTTCTCTAGTGTCTATTTTTTCTTTCCATTCTAATCAAATTTAAATTTTAATTGATTACTCTCATAGTCATTTCAGTTTCTTAGCTTTCATTCCACTATTAGCAACAGTTACTTTGACATTCACATTTGTCAGAAGATTAATTTTTAATGTTCACCTTTCTGCTCTCAGTTGCAGATTCTCTAGGGCTTATTTTCAATTTAAAAAGATGCCTTTCTCATCGTGGTAGCTTTAAAAAACTCTTGGTGTCTTCCTATTATCTTGGATTTGTTTCTGGTTAAAGGAAACAAGTTATTTTTTCTATTTGATTGCATTCTGAAAAAGAACTTGACAAACATCCTGAATATACAGTTATTACCAGAGATTCTTAATCTTATTTTAAAATAATGTTTGTTATAGTCTGCTGTGTGGCAGCCCCTGAATAATATATGTTATGGTCTGTATAATATCAACAGTTTTATCTTAGCATAGGTTCTTTGGCTCCTATATTCTTCCTTCTTGGGTCCATGGATAGGACTAGAAGTTCCTGCTTTTGGCATTGAACAAACCATGGTTCTTGAAAATGTTTGAATTCTGAACTGTATAATATTTCAACAATGGTAGCAAAAATGAGCCAACATTAAATAGGTCTTTACCTACTGTATGTCTGAACACATTATTTGCTAAATTATAATGTCACAGGAAAAACAGGTAAGTTTACAATCAGAAATATTTTTTCTGATATTAGGTTTCTGTGCAGTTAAGGATCCATTGCACAGAAGCTTCCAAATTATTGTAATTTATTTATATAGGGCATGATGGTTTCCCACAATGTATGAATTGCACATTAGCAATTTAAATTATTGGTCGTGGTTTTTGAACAATAAGATGAAAAGCAAGAGAAAGTCAAAGCAGTACTTATTTCAATAAAATTATAGTTCCATAAAGTCTTCTTCATGTAGCTGGGAAAGCAAAGAAGCAAAACAAAATCACAGAGGGAAGAAACGTAGTCCTAAAAATGTGCTAGGAAGTTTACAGGTAGTCCTCAGTTAACACTACACGGAATTGGAACTGGCAACTCCATCACTAAGTGAAACAGTCATTAAACAAAATTTATGATCACACCAACTTAACAACAGCAGTTCCAGCAGTCTTGGTTGCAGTTGTTAAGCAAATTACCATGATTATCAAGCAAGACACTATGTGATCACAATTTGCAACTTCCCACTGGCTTCCCCATTGACTTTGCTTGTGAGAAGCGGATTGGGAAACTTTCAAAGGGAGATCACGGGATGTTGTTAACATCGTAAATGCATGAGGGTTGCCAAACAGTAAAATCATTATCATCTGACACAGGGATGCAGCAATGGTCATAAGTGTGAGAACCAGTCACAAGTCGCTTTTTCCAATGCTGTTGTAACTTTGAACAGCTGCTAAACAAATGATTGTTAAGCAAGAAGTACTTCTATGGCAAATAAATGTTACAATAAAAATATCTCACAATTAATACAATATTAATAAAATGTGAAGAATATTGCAAAAGACAAATATTCAGATAATAAATACAGTGACTAATGGGCCCTATCAAGGCTTCTAATCCAAGAAGTATATAGTATTGGTCTACTGGCAAGACCCAAGGACTTTTCTGTGATCTTTAATTAAATTAAGTCTCAGTTGTCGAGGTTTTACCTAGGTAGCCAATTTAAAGACTGCCTTATTTTTTAACTTTATCATAGTTGGTTATTCGATATATCATGATTTTAAATTTCATTGTTGTGTTTTTAAGAGCTAATTCTAAAAGAGAACATCAATCATTTAAGTGTCTTAAATACAAGTGCAAAGTCAACTCTTTAATATGTTTTGGATTTATCCATCAATAAAACATTAGAATTTGTTGGTGCTATAGCCTTGTCTTTTGCAATATAGACAGCTATGTGAGTGAGGTTGTATAGGCTCACCCTGTTTTGAGGCATGGTCTATACTTTGTGTATATGAATTCAGATGCGTCATAATATATATAAGAAGCAGAGCTGCATTGTAATCAACATCTGATCCTATTGATGTATAAGGCTGGGAGAGAGTTAAACTCTTAAGTTTAGTGAATTAAACTATAAGTTTCAATTGAAATATAATCCTTAGATAGAAATGGTTTACTGAGTTGTGTAAACTGTGTTCATAAGTCTTACATGGTTACTTGGATATGGCCAATGCATTCTGTCCTCGCATAGTAATGCATAATTCAAATCCACATCTTTTCAGCACCAATATAAAAATCTGTACAAGTAGTACTAGCACATTGGGGTCATAATGAAGTAGTAATAAGCTTAGTTGATTTATCCAGCTAGTCTGATTATATGGAGACCTCAAGGATGGTCTTAGGACACTCTTATTAAAAGTACTTTGAAGGCAAACACTAGCAGTGGTTATAATTAAGTTTCTAATCTTGGAATTGGTTGCACATTTTGGTTGCACTTTTAAATGTAGGTATTTTAAATATGGGAACTTCAGTAAGAAGTGTTTGAGCCCTAGTTGATAACAAATCATCCATTTGTTTGTAGCTTTTTAATTGAGGAATTAATGATAACAACCAGATCACAAACTATGTGGCAGTACTATCAAATGGCTCCAATAGTTGTTGGAATTTTAACTAAAATATGTGAAGTAAAGACTCATAAATCTCATATTTTTTATTTTCTCTTTTGGTTTTAAGGAACTGAAAAGACTTCTGAAGAAAGAAGATAAACCTGTTCTGTTGATGTTCTATGCCCCTTGTGAGTAATACAATATTTTTAAAAATTTGGCAGCCCCCTTACTGATATTTGTGTACCAGTATTAAATTATTCCATTTGTTCATAGAAAACTGACAGCACACATTCACTATCTGCTCATTACTCTGCATTTGATATTCTTCATTCCTCAGTTTTTATTTCATAATTTACTACAAACATAGCAGTATAGTATAAAAATATTTCAAATGATGTTCTTTTACTCTTTTTATCTGGTAAAGTTATGTAAAAAATGGACACTCAGGTTCAGGTGGACCTTGCACATTTATTTCTAGTTTTCAGATATGTTCAGACTATTCTTAAATACAATAAACTTTCTTCAAATACCCATTTCCTCCTGTTGTAATTTAAGGATCTGTAGTTAAGTTGCCCTGCCATCATTCTTAAAATGGCTTGGACATGTCAAGAGAATAATATCCTGCCCCAACCAGCAATCATTGTAAAAGAGAACCCATCAAAAATAAATAAAATGGTACCTTGGAGAGTTCTCTGCAACAGCAGTAGCTATTCAATAGATATTTTTTTTTAATCTCTGCCATCTCAAGTTTGAAATAATGCCGGCCACACCCCTGTTCCTCCAGTAAAAATACACAAAAATTGCTTCTGCAAATTTATCAGGTAACAGCCAACCTAAGCTGATCTTAGCTGTCTACGTAAATTAGAATATGCAATCTAAGCTGCCTAAGTGAATTAGAGACCATCTGGAAATTTCAGAGTTTTGGCTAAATTAGGAAAAAACTATAGAAAAAAACTCCCAGTGTTGAGCTACAGCTGTAAGGCTGACAAAAATACTGCATGGATGCTGTCACCAGCAGACAAACTCAATTGGTGGGCATATTTGTCTTTTTAATCTAGGTACATTTGTGCCTGATGGCACATTGAATGACCTACTTTACTATTGCTAGCCATATGGATATCTTTTTCTTCTGTGAGCCTCTATGAGGAATAAAGGCTTTTCATTGTGAGTGATTAGAATCTAGGACTGCAGGCATGTCAAAAACATATCACAGAATTCATTTCCTTAACTCTGATCCTAGTGATACCGAACATCCTGCCTGTCTTTGTTGTAGTATCTTGTGGTGTTACAAGGGGCCAAAACCATCAATGAAGCTTTTATCAGGAGGAAAATAAATCCTTATGAATCTTCATTCCCAATTATAATTAGGATGAATAAATGGAAGCCAAACTAAACTCCAATTTTTTATTTGACATAGGCCTGAAAGTTAAAACCTCAGCTTCATCTTCCATAGGAAAACAATTGAATATATGTTTCATGGTTCTATCAGCCTTTTTTTTTTTTTTTAGAAAAACTGGGAGTGTATTTCATAATATTCTTTAATCAAAGTAACTCACATTGAATTGCAAATTATCAGAGGAGTGAATTCTTTCTACATATCCTTTTTTTAAAGTTATATGGTATTGACAGGAAACCTCTGTCTTCAGGATGTATTGAAATCATAATTTCACTTGAATTTCTTTTGTAGCCAGACACGAAATTGGCAAAGTCAAAACAAATAATAGTAGTGTTTTTCCTGACCACAGTGGTGCTATCTAACACACACTGTGAGATAACGACATGCCCCTAAGAACATGTTTCTCCAGATTTCTGCTTCCAATCTTGTAGTATAGTTCTGTTGCCTGTTTAGGAAACATATCAAATTTCTTAACAAGCACAGTCATTTATGTCCTGCTTCTGGACTAAGAATGATAGGAGTTGCACACTACACACATCTGGAAGATACCAGCTTGGCAAAAGCTGCTTTACATTTCAGTAATGAAAAACACTGTCAATGAGATCTCTCAGTTTTATCATTGCAAATTATTTATATTCTGCTAGCAAGGGTTGGATTACCACATGAACAGGTAACTTTGTTAAGTTCCAAAAATGAATTTGTAGCAAAGGGGGGAAAAAGAAGTATGGAATCAGGTTGTAACAAATCTGAAAGTGAATGCGTGCATAACTGTATTAAATAGATATGTGGTGTTCCTCAGCAAAAATACTTTGCATTGTTATGAAGATGCTACATAATATATTTACATTGCTCCACAAGAAGCTATTTACCTGCAAGGGTTGATTTTACCTTGTCATGGCTGAATATAGTGGCATTCTAGCCATTTACCAAGAGAGTCAGGAACTAGCAGGATGAAATTTAATTCATGTTACTGGATATATGCGCAATCATATCGGATATATGTGGAGTGGTGTTGTTTGTAAAAAGGCAAAAACCCACAATTTTCCCTTAAGGTGATAAGCTCTTAAATAATCCTTTCAGAATACTGTTTATTTCTAGGACATAGCATATTTGTCTTTCATGCATATTTACTCTTCAATACTGTTCTCTGAAACTTCTGTAGGCTCTTTGTAAATTTTAGATTTATCTCAGAAAAGCCTGGCTGTTTCCTGGTTCACAGCATGCCTTGCAATTGACCACTGTTTTTATGTTGGTTGAAGTTATAATGTTTGCTTTAGTTTTATAAATAATTCCTTCAGGCTATGATATTAAAAGGCCCTCTTCCTCTTTTTTATTCACTAGCAAATAACTTATTTTCTGCTATGAATTTCTTTCTTACAAAGTATATCTGAGTCATTCAATTTGGGCATTCCCCTAAGCAGGTTTCCCCAGCATGGTTTTAGAACTCATTTCTACCTTATTCGTTTGGATATGTTCAAAACTTACATTCTTTTTGGGGACAAGAATCTCTCCTCCCAAGTATTTTTAGATTCTGATGTTCCTGATTCTGCAATGGTGTTCAATGGAATACTGCATCCAGTTCTGGTCACCATATACAAAACAGATGTTGAGATCTTAGAAAGAGTTCAGAAAAGAACAACAAAGATGAAAGTCTGGCGGCTAATCATAAGATGAACAATTTAGGAAACTGGGTATGTCTAGTCTAACTAAAAGAAGGACTAGGGGTGATATGGTGGCAGTCTTCCAGTACTTCTGTCACAGAGAAGGAGGAGTCAACTTCTTCTCCAAAACACCTGAGGGCAGGACAAGAAGTAATTTGTCATTAAAGGTCATTAAAGAGAGATCCAACCTAGAGAAATTTCCTGACAGTGAGAACAATCAGTGGAACTACTTACCTCCAGAAGGTGTGGGTACTCCATCATTGGAGGTTTTTAAGAAAAGATTGGGCAGCCTTTGTCCAGAATGGTATAGAGTCTCCTCTTCAGCAGGGGCTGAACTAGAAGATCTCCAGGGTTCCTTCCAACCCTATTATTCTATGTTCTAAGAGTAAGTGAAATAGATCTCCATGAAACAGACAATTTTGTTCTACTGGCTTTATTTATTTAACGTGGGCCAATTTAGATCTTAATCACCAATCTTCATCTCCAAAAGTTGAATTTAATTCACCTAACATTAAAAAAAAACACAGAACACTTAATTTGATATTCATAGATTTTAGAAGTATTGTCTTGTCCTTCAGACTATCTAACTATATATAACTAGTCAGTTTCTAATTCAGATGACTTGGCTTTGCCCCCTCTTTTAATGAAAAATCTGTCTTCTGACTCTGCTGTCAAATGCTTCTAGATACTTATGGGGGATCTTCTTTGAAGGTTACTGCTCCTTAGTAATCAAAGTAACACTAGGGCTACAGTACTGTTTTTATGTTTAATATGATGAAAAACGCTTCAGCTAAATTCCTTTTTAATCAAATAAGCTTTGAGAACTCATGAGCAGACCCTAGGTTGCTTAGGCATGGAGTCAGCAAATTGAAGTAGGAACAAGAGGATACGTGTGCGCGCAAACCCACAAATATATACAGAGAAAGGAAATTGCAATTATACAACAAACATTAACAAGATGAATAGACTGGAGCAAACAGATCAATAATATATTATAAACAGCATAAATATGGCTAATACAACTAATGGTTTTGAAAATAAAATTCTATGCATCCATGGCTCCAACTACCTAATAGATTTTGAGCTATAGGGTTTCTTTCTTTTTTTAAGATCTTGTATATATTGCTATTAGTCCAGAAATTCTGCTTTTATGAACCAATTGTATATCACTGAGTACATGAACTTCACTGTGTTTTTGTACCAGTGGTTGCAGGTGAAATAAACAGCCTCTCTGGTCTGACTTTCCTGCTCCACTAGTTTCTCCTCCAGTATATAAAACTATCATAACAGATTGAGAATCCTTTTCCATAGCTAGCATTTTCTGACCTGGATTAGTATGAAAATACCCGTATCAATATTGGACCATTTCCAGGCTAAACATCTTAAAACCATTATCAGTAAAAGGTAGATCCCTACCAGAGCCTTGCTTAGTTTGCTTGTCTAAATGACGTTAACCTTATCTTATATTTAAAATTATATCTGGGAGAAAGTCTGACTTTTGCTTTCTAAAGGTTACATCTGCTCTGGGACTGACTTTATTGCAACTTCAAATATTCACTTAGTAAACTAATCATAAGACATTTCTGAAGAACCTGTCCAAAACTCCTCTAATCTTCTAATTCCCCACTGGAAGGAAAAATACAATACTACAAGGGATTTCTATAAACATATTTTTAAAATACTATTAAAACTTACCATGAATATATTCTATTGGTGGCACTATATTCCTGTAAATTATATAAGTCTCCAGCTTTCTGGAGTTAGTGTTAGCAGAATTGATCTCAGATTGCCCTATTTTTGGTGGCAAACCCCAACTACTCAAATCAAAAGGTCCAATTTTCTTGAAGAAAATAGGAAGATAATGCAACAGTGTTTCAGAAGTAGTCCTGCTGTTGGTTTATTGATCATTATTTCTATACATTGATGCAACAATTGAATCAGCTCCTGTTTCTAGCTGCTAAATTTACTATTGTAATATTCTAAAAAGCTCATTGAAGTGATAGTAATTAAAATTTTGGAAATAACTCTGGCTGAAAAACTAGTGGAATGGTTAAAAGCTTTGAAAATTGCTACAATTAAGGATAAATGTATTCAAATATGGCCACCAATTATTAGCTGTCTTAGCAATGTTTTTCTTGTTCTGGTGACTTTCTCTGTGCAAAAATGTTATTTTGGATAGAAATACTGAACATGGGTGGTATTTGTATTTCTCTGAAAGATCACATGTTCGTTCAACCATCTATGAGTGTTTTAGGGCTGGGTAAGACCTTGGGTTTCCTTCTAAAACATTTCCTCGAAAGGTCCAGGATATATATTAAACATTTTGTTTGCAACTCTTTAAAGTTACTGTAGCTACGGAAGAGGCCTGTCACACAAGCCTCAGAAAAGATACCGCTACTTTAAAAAGTTGCAGAAAGGTGCTACATTAATACCCCCATGCACTTGAAAATGATTTTTCTAAAAACAATTTCATTCTGTGTATTTCATAGCAATGGTACACACAGGTTCATGGTTTCTAATCTATCTTTTCACTTCACATTTGGAATGAATCTAAGAAAGGTAATATTATGAAATAGGTTTTTGATTGCTGAACACTTGGGTGTATAAAGGTCAGGAGAAATGTTTAACTCAAGAATAATTTTGGCAAGTCAGGAATAATTGTATGCATTTTAAAGCATATGCACACACAAAGTATGAGAGCCAATGTGGTGTACTGGTTAAGGTGCAAGACTAGGAGCAGAAAGAATTAGGTTCTAGATCTCCCAGGGAAGTTGCAAAAACATCTATGAACGTGCACTACACTGCCAAGGTAGACTATGATTATGGTGACCATATTTTCATGGGGAAAAAGTAAAGGACAAACCTGAAAAAGGGACAAATTTAAAAAGGTTCATAATAATAAAATATTGTAATGTTTGTAACTTTGTTTTACAAAGGAAAGTAGAGATTGAGGAATCAAAAATTAAGATAAACTTTACAAAATGCAAATTTTAATAAAAAATAATATCAAATAATATATGGACATTTTTTTTAAAGGAACTTGATTTCCATAATTTTTTACACAAAGTAAAAGGCTGTACATTATGTCATACTATTTGTACAATAAAATTTAAAGGCCCAAAATAAAGGACAAAAGGGAGTTTTTGAACAAGTAAATAAATCTAAAAGACGTTTTTGTGAAAGGATATCCTTTATAATAAAGGACATACGATCGCTATAATTATGATCCATGACCGTTAATGAAGAGTCCTTCATTCTGCAATCACACGCATGCATATTGCATGGAGGAACTTTGTTCATTCAGTTTGCTTTATAGATAAATTTAAGAGTGAGTATTTCTTCCCTTATATCTTGTATTAGGGTGTGGAGTTTGCAAAAGAATGGTGCCAGCTTTCCAACAAGCATCCACTGAACTGAAGGGCATGTATGTAAGTAAAAAGTCTTGTAAGACGTTTTTGGGTTTTTAATTACTTCATTAATAAAAGTAAAGCTTCTTTATTGGCATGTTTTTAATATGTAATAGTTACTGAATGTAAAAAAGCTTAAATTAAAAAGCAAACAGAAATATTATCTTATTTATATTAATCCTCTGGGAACATTTACTTGAAAGTATCAATTTGGAACAGGATTCTATGGTTCCTCGTTATACCTGAACATAAAGTCAAAATTAGATTTCCCATCTGGCTATTTTATTTCCAGGGAAGGTTACTTTGAATTGAAAGTGATGCAGTACCATGAAATCAAGTGTTTCCAATTCTCCCTCCTATTGTATTTAATCACATTTACATTCCCCATTTCTTCTGGGAGGTAGACAGTTTTTCAGAAGTAACACACTGGGAAAATTTAGGCTGAATTGGAGTGACTGGTCCAAGACCATTGTTTACAAATTAGTGTCATTTGCATTGACATTTGCATAGAAAGTCTTGGACTGGACTGTCCCTCTCTGACACCTGTAATGTTAGATGAGTGCATCTGTAACTCTGGTTGAGTCTGTCCATGACCTCTCAGAAAATTTGCATACATTTATTTTTCTTGTGCCAGAGTGCTATATCTGGTGAAAAGACTTGCAAAAAGACTTGATGTTGTGGGGTGTTTTTGGACATGAGCAATATATTAATTACTTGCTTTCAAGAGTGCACTGAAATATGTAGATAAAATATATATAGTGTCTTGTGGTAAAAGAAATAGGTTTCATTGAGTATACATGATCTGAGATTAGGGCCCATTGCAGTTTACTGTCTCATAGCTTACAAAATGTAGAGGCTATTTAATATTGCAGGAAGACTGGTAATGCAAAATCTTCTTCAAATGTAAAATTATTAAAGACTGTGTCCTGAATTGGTAAGTGACACAAAGCAAAGTTAACCATGTATGCCAGAAAATTCTAGAGTTCATATTGAGATGATATCTTTGTTAGGGCAATAATGATAGAATTATCAATAAGGAAAGGAAAGTAATTTTATATATGGTGCATTCAGAAAGTATTCAGACCCCCTTTACTTTTGTCAATTTTGTTATGAAATTCATTTTTTTTCCTCATTAATCTGTAGTCAGTAACCCATAATGACAAAGTAAACACAGAATTTTAGAAATGTCTGTAAATTTATTAAAAATAAAAAAAATCTAAAATATCAAGTGGCATAAGTATTCAGACTCTTTGCAACAACACATAAAATTTAGCTCAAATGCCTCCCATTCTCTTGATCATTACTGACATATTTCTATAACTTGATTGGAGTCCACCTATGGTTAAGCTGAATGGAGCAAAGTACAGGAATATCCTCAATGAAAACCTGTTCCACAATGCTCAGGACCTCAGACTTGGCTGAAGATTCACTTTCCACCATGACAACGATCCTAAGCACATAGCCGAAATGGCATAGGAGTGACTTATGGATAACTGTGAATGTCCCAAAATGGCCCAACTAGAGCCCTGACTTGAACTCTATTGAACATCTCTGGAGGGACCTGAAAGTGGCTGTCCGCTGATCATCGCCATCCAACCTGACTGTACTTGAAAGGATTTGCAAGAAAGACTGGCCAAAAAATCCTCTGATCATAGTGTGCAAAACTTGTCACATCATACCCAAAAGGACGAGGCTGTAATTGCTGCCAAAAGTGCTTCAACTAAGTGAAGGATCTAAATACTTATGCCAATGTAATATTTCAGTTTTTTTCTTTTTAATAAATTTATAGACATTTCTAAAATTCTGTTTTCAGTTTGGAATTCTGGGATACCAAGTGTAGATTAATGAGAGAGAAAAAAATGAATTTCAACAACTGTAGAATCAGGCCGAGCATAACAAAATTGACAAAAATGAAGAGGTCTGAATACTTTTTGAATGTACTTTATATCCTTTTGGAGTTTCCTTGACCAGCTATTGCCACTCAGATTGATTAAAAAAACATTGGAAATTACCTTTAGCTTTCTTAATTAAAAATACCAATCCAAAATCCTTTATAGTGTCCTGTTTTGGATTTTCTTTTGCAAAAGGATTTCCCCTGATGAATAATTCTAGAGACTTCAGAGGCTTTTCTAATTAGCTGAAAGATATTGAATTAATATGGATTTTGGTTGCTTTTAATATGTTCAGCACGGCAACATTTGCTCTTTATGTGACACACAATATGAAGTGGTTCAGGTTAATTAAAGAATTTTTATAAGTAATTCTGTGGCCTCATTAAGTATCCCGTGTCTTTTTCTGAGTGGCTAAGGATAATAGTATTGAAAAACAGTGATTAGCAAAATACAAGGAGGAAATGATAGAACATGCTGACATAATCCTTTGGGAACAAAAGATCACAAGACCAATCATAACGCACCTAAACATCTCTTGACAGAAAAAAAAATAGCCCTTTGTTGACCATTGGTGGAGTTTCACAGATGTCTTCCAAAGGGCATTTCTAAGAGATAATCCAAAAATCTTTAAAGTCCTTTCTGATGTCCTGGCTGTCTGATGTCAGAAACAAAGGATGTAATCTTGAATGTGGTGAAATAGTGTTAATAATTGGAGAAATCAATTGACTGCGCAGGTCAGAGCCCTCCAGGTGTAATTGAACTTCAGTTCCAACCATCTCTAACCAGCATTGTTCTATTAGGAAGTACAATAGGAGCACAGTTAGATTTGGAAAGCCAATTTTGCTTCTTCCTGATGTCTGCTATGTTAGCTGCATTGTTAGTACTGATTATTGCAGTCATTGATCATTTTATTCAATTATAATTAAACCTATTAATATCTGTATATCGCTCCATTGCACTTTCAAAACTTCAGCATTTGCAGAGGTTCTGGATACATGGTGAAGAGAAAACCCCAGCTTCTTTGTGAGAAAGCCGCATCAGCAGGGCATGAATGTTTGCCAACTCAGTGTCTGCTGAGTTATCAAGACTATTCTGAAAAAGAAGGGGAAGGAGATAGGCAGGGAATAGAGAAAAAAGATGAGAAAAAAAATCCAAAAGCCCAATGATTGGCAGAAAGGAAGGTAGACAAGAAAACTGCTGGATTATCCCTAGGAGGCCTGTACAAACAAACTCCCCCACCTTTCTACACTGACTGAACTTGAATCAACTTACTGCCCAGGCAGAGAAGGGAGCTGATTTTTTGAGCTGGACATCTAAGAGGGAGGGGGGAAATGTGGAGACTACACAAGAAAGGAGCAGCCGGTATATCCATATCTGAGGCTGGTGAGCCCATTTTTGGTAAGATTGTTGGAGATCAAGCCTCAAATTGCTGCTGCTGGAGCAATTTATCTAATGGATAGGCTCCCCCCTCCCCCCCAAAAAACATTGAGTTCTCGCTTTTTGACTCTTGTTGGCTCCAAAGAGTCTTGTTTTTTGCTTTCGTACCATGTCCCCTAGTACTCAGGGGATAGAATAATTCACGTTCTCTTCAACTTTGGAAGATTGGTTATACGCTAGTCATCTCCACATCTCTCTATCTAAAAAGGTCTCTGGTACAGGATAAATTTCTTTAATCTGATTTTGTTTTGAGATGCAGTGTTTAAATCTGTAATGTGTTACTGTTCAGATGCACTGGACATCAACACCCCATCCATGCTAAAGTTGAAGTCCAAGTCCTTCAGAGCCCCAGGTTGTAAGAGGCTGCTGTAACTATCACAATTTTCAGTTGTTTGCAGAACCATCAGAACCTTTTTCTGAAAAGTATGTTGGTTAAGGTATTAGACAAGGTCTAAGGAGAGCCAGTCTCAAGTCCACCTTCAGTTGTGGAAGTTTGCTGCATGATTTTGAGCAAGTCACTTCTTCTCAGTCTAACTTATTTCACCATGTTATTGTGAGAAAAAAAAATCAATATTTTTATTTTGGCCAAGAGTCATCAGACATACAAGGAATTTGTCTCTAGCGCAGAAACACTCAATGTACATGCAAAGCAACAGAGTAATAAACATCATAATATGCTACCAATAAGAGTGGGTAGTAGAGAAGATGAGAAGGATAATAATCCTAAGCCATAAAAATGGGTAAATATACTTAGACATAAAACAATATGGTGAGGATTAGGTGTCCAGCAGAGTGAGTGATGGCATGAGGGAAAAAACTGCCCTGAACTCAGGAGTTTAATTAGGAGGAGAAATTGCTATGTATGTAAATTGGAGCTCCTCAAGGAAAGGCAGTATATAAACCGACCAATCAAATAAAAACAAAACAAACAAGTAAAACAAGAAGTTTAGATCAGGAGAGGAAAAATCATCACTTCCCTCTGGGTAAAATTGTATTTAGATCATTCTGTATTTGTGTGGCTAGCATAACCATTCCTGATTTATTGTAAAACAATAATATTACTTCAATTGTATTGTAGATACTCCACAACTTACAACTACAATTATGGGTGGTGTTGCAATTCTAAGTTTTTGTGGTTATAAGCAGGGGTAGGATACGACAGGGTTAACTACTGGTTCGGGATTTACGAGCTTCCCTATATGATGCGAGCCGTGCGCCTGTAAATCGTTATCAGCATGCTGTGTGCAGAGAAGCAGCCTTTGAAACAGCCCTCTTTTCCTGCTTTTTTAACTGCAGCTGTGCCTTGTTTGGTAGCTGAAGTTGAAAAATCAGGAAATAAAGATCGGGTAAGAGCCTGGGTGGGTGGGTAGCTAGGCAAAAACATCAGCATAGAACTGGTTCTATGTCTGCTGCTCTTCAGAGCTACCGGTTCTACAGAGGTGGACAGAACCAGTAGAAACCCATCCCTGGTCATAAGTTGAGTCATCATGTGACTGGTCCTGATCTTACATCCATTTTTACAGTGGTTGTAAGTCAAGTCACAGAGGTCATTAAGTGAATTCAGCTTTCTCAGTGACCATTTTGCAAATTGTGATCATGTGACCACGGGATGCCACAGCTGGCTATTAATGCTGACGATGGAAGGCATTGTGCCCGAATGCCAAAATGCCCAAAATGCAATCACCTGACCATGGAAGGTGTTGTGATGGTTTGCGATATTTGTAAGCATAAATTTAAGTCATAAGACAACTCTTTTGGAGGTTGTCTTAATTTCGAACCATTGCTAAATAAATAATCATAAGTTGGGAACTACCCGTACTGCGTAATTGAAATGAGTACTTGAAGCAGAATATAATTGTCTGAAAAAGAAAAGCGAATCAGACAGTTTGCTAAAGAAAAAAAGGCTTGCCTTTTCTAAAGAAAGTAGTAACATTCAAATTTTGAAAGACTGAGTGAAGCATGAAGAGGTTTTACACAGGTAAAACCAGGTAAATTCAGATTCATTTGTTCATATTAATCTTTGTTTTAAATATAGAGAAAGATTCAAGGACTCAACAATCCTCCTATATGTGCAAAAATTAACTGATTCTGTTTTAAGATGAGACAACTAGAAAATGTCAGATAATGAATATAATGGCATATCTGAGTACAGTACTGATAATTATATCTCTGCTTTTATTCTTCTCAGTCAGAATTCTTTCATAAGGGGTATGTGGTTACAATTACACCCTTTATACCAACTGGATATTTTGTTGCTTTATAGATAATAAGTTTTATAAATCAGCCCAATGGGTTTTATAGGTTTTAAGCCTATAATTGTTGTCCTATCTTAAATTTATCATTTACCTATAAGAATATGGATGTTTTGCTGGTTTTTTTTTTATTTCCACAAAGTCACAGTCTGTAATAAATATTGTCCTGTTCAGCTTCTCCTTTCCTATTTTTGTCTTGCCATAGCACTTTACCAAAAGATAATTAGCACCTGGGAAGAAATTGAGTCAGGTTTCTTCAAATTAGTTTTCTGAGGAAGCCTTTTTGATGTGTAACATTTCATTAAACACGGATAACTGGACTGCTCAGTAGCAGACTAGAGGCAGTACTAATGTTATAAAGGACAAGGATTTTCAAAATACAGGCTTCTCCAGTGATTGGCATATAAATGTCCAGTTGAAAATTTAACACTTCCTCATAAAAATATAAACTCCCCTCTGAGAAAAGTTCATAAAAACAGAGCTGCTTCAGAAAACAGAGCTTTCTGAAGCATTCTTTTGCTATTCCTAAGAGTGGAATTGGCTACATCAAACATAAAATTGCCAGTGATTTGCTACACCATGCTTTTCTTTGTCCATAATCCAACCTATTTCTGGTAGAAACTGTATTCTGAGGTATGGAAGAATACCTCAGAGAAAGAGACAGGTTGACAAGGTGTTGCTTTTAAAGCACCAGGAGCAGCAGGTTTGTAAATAAACAAACAAACCTAGTGTTCTGGTATTTAGACTTAATAAGAATAATTGTGGGGTTATAACTGGTTGTGAGGCCTATAGAATTTAGTCTAAAGGGCTGGGGTAGAGGGGGGTGCCTTTATCCCCATGGTAACTTGATACATCACTGTTTCTGAACTGAAAAATTAAATGAAGTCCTCAAGAGGTAGCTCTGCAGCCATGATGGATGAGAAGAGAGAAAGGGGAAAGAAAGGGGGAGGGAGAAAGAGAGAGAGAGAGAAGGAAGGAAGGAAGGAAGGAAGGAAGGAAGGAAGGAAGGAGAAAGAAAGAAAGAAAGAAAGAAAGAAAGAAAGAAAGAAAGAAAGA